CTGGAAGCTCACTGAAGCTTTCAAAACTAGGAAACAGTACATTTTTGCTGAGAGAGGGCATTACATAATACACAACAGAAATGGGAAGAAAAAGATCAGCCTTAATCTAACTGAATAGGGATAGGCCTTAAGGGCCAAATAGCCTATTCCTAACTCCCTAATTGGGATCACACATAAGGCCATGTTGAAATTAAGCACTTGGCAAATTCCTTTTTACCTGTATGAGCTTCTGGCAGTCAAGCCTCTAAAAAGGATTTCAATTATTTTTTGGTTCCAACGTCATGTTCAAAGAAACCTTTAATCCTCTGTGTAGAGTAATTTCACACATTGTTAAATGAATTTAAAATGAGAATTCAATGTGTTACTGGAGTCTGTTACTTTACTTTGATGTAATTGAAATAGTGTGTAATTACACCTTGTAGCAGCTATTAGAATCACTCAAAGCCATGAATTACCACTGAAAGAGAAGTGAGTATAATAAGCAATCAGTAGTCATCATCAATCAAGGGGAGACAGATTCATGCATGTACTGCTTAAGGCAGCCACTTCATGGGCTGGCTCCTCTTCCCTGGGTATAAGTTGTTGGTGGAGGTGCCATCTCAATGTTCAGTCATAAGGTTGAGGGCTCATCAGAGTGGAGACATGTTGGGCTGAATGGGCCCTTTCTGCACCATACCAATTCTGAGTTTTCTGCTCCATCTGTAATCCAGCCAAGAATGCAAGAAACAGGAGCAGACTATATAACACATCAAGTCTGGTCCACCATTTAAGACAACCATGACTGACCAAGAATTTCATCTCCATTTTCCCACATTTCCTGAGAAAGCAAAACTCTATCCATCTCAAGCCTTAAAATATGTTCAAGGATGGAGCATTCTCAATCCCCTGGGGCAGAGAATTCCAAAGATTCACAGCTCTTTGAGTGAAGAAGTTTCTCTTCATCCCAGTCCTAAATGATCGGTCCCTTATTCTGAGGTTGTACCATTGCTTTCTGAATTCTCTGACCAGCAGAAACAATTTCTCAGCATCAATCCCATCAAATCCCTTCAGAATTTTGTCTACTTCAATGAGATGACTTCTCATTCTTCTGAACTCCAAGAAATAGAATCCCAACGTACTCAGGCTCTGCTGAGGGAGTACTGCAGCACCTACGGTGATGTCTGTTGGAGGAGACATAAACAAATGTCTACTCAAGGGGTTTGCACCATCTCAAACAGTAGGTGATTTCTCCCTTATGTCATGTACTTGCTCCTCAACCAATATCTCTCTCCAGACACCAGACACTGAAAAGGTCTTCAGCAACCATGAACTTCTGTGCCAGTCTATAGTAATGTTTGGGAAGGTACAATATTGGCTTGCCATTGCCACCTGCAGATGGTTGACTGACCAGGGAGTCCCTTCCATTCTCATGCCTGCCACTGGCACACATTGGAGGCATTTACAACTTGATACTTGCCTGTATGTCCTGATGTACCATTAAGTCCTTTAATGAGACTTGAACCCAGAATTTCTAGCTCAGAGGAAAGAACACTACCCACTGCACTGCAAAACCCACTGCTCAACCGACATCATTAAAACAGATTATGAAGTCTTTCGTCTCGTTGTTGCTTGTGGGAGCATGCTGTGCACAAACAGATTATTGTATGTTTTCTGCATAATCATTATAATTAGCACTGCAAAGGAGTCTCTCATTGACATTTGATGTGAACATGACGGTTGAGGCACTAAGTAATGGAAAACCACTACAAGGCCCTCCAGGAAACTCAGGGCCCTCAACTGCTTATATTAATTTTGACTTGCTGCCTGGATGCATAATGTTCCCTTGGTAAATTTCAGCTCATCCAAACCTCCACAGCCTGTACAGAACATGCAACAGGCTTCAATTGTTGACAACCTATAGTAACAACTTGTGAATGCATGGCTGTTAAATTTGTTGATGATGCAAATATAGGAAGAAAAATAAATTGTGAAGAGGACCTAAGGGATATCAATTGGTTAAGTGAGTGGGTAAAGATTTAGCAAATGGAGTATAATGTGGGAAAATGTGAAAACATCCACTTTGGCATGATTAATAAGAAAGCAGCATATTATTTAAACAGAATACTACTGTGCAGAGGGATCTGAGAGTCCCAATACATGAATACCATAACTTTAGTACGAAGGTGCAGCAACTTAGCAGGACAGCAAATGGGATGATTCATTAGAAGGGGAATAAAATATAAAAATAGGGAGCTTCCGATACAGCTTTTTGACGAGACTTCATTTAAGAAAGCACATAATCACATTAGAAGCAGTTGAGAGACTTGATATTGGATGAAGGAGTTTTAATTATGAAGAAAGCTTGGACAGCTTGGACAGCTTGGCCAGTGTCCACTGAGGTTTAGAATCATGAGAGGCAATTATGTTAAAATACTGCATCCTGAGGGATCTTGATAGGGTGGATACTGCACGAATGTTTTCTCTTGTGGAACAGACAACTAGGGAACAGTTTAGAAATAAGGGATCTCATATTTAAAGCAGAGCTGTGAACTTTTATCTATCAGATCTGTGCAATTCACCTTCCCAAGAGTACAGTAGAAGCAGGATCATTGAATATTTTTCAGGCAAAGTTCAATAGATTCTTGACGAATAAGGGAATTGAAGGGTGTAGGGGGTAGACAAAAAAGCGAAGTTGAGGTCACCATCAGCCATGATCGTATCCCATTGAAGAGCAGGCTCAAGCAGTCTCCTTGTATGAGCATGTGTGCAGTTTCACAGTAATTGCTATGTGTGTTTAAAAGGGACAGGTTAATTAGCGCGTGCGCGCACACACACGCAAACACACACACACAAACAGAAGCGAATTTGGAGCAGTTTATGCCAGAATAGCTGCTTTTCTATAGGTGTCGCTGCTCAGCTTGTTTCACCCTCAAAGCTCAGTACCGCCACCAGCAAGAGTTTAGAGGTTTTAGCAGATGTATTGGAAAAAGAAACAGAAAACATGTAAACCCTTGGCAGGTCTGCCAGCATTTGTGAAGAGAAAATGATGTCCTAGTCCCTTATTAAAGCCATTAGGCTCTCTCTCATCCTAGTTGTTCCCCTGGCAGGGCCCTCATTTCCACTCCCACAAGTTCAAGAGAAGCCAACTTGAACTTCTCCACTTCACTTTCTCCCTTTCAGACACTCCGTAAAAACCACCCCTTTCATCAAGATTTTGATCAATTGCCTGTATACCTCCTCAAGTGGTTCAGTGCCAAATTTTGTTTCAGACTGCCTGCGTAACACCATGCAATTTTATTACTTGCAAGGAAATGTATAAATAGAAGTTTTTTGATGTGGTGGAAGCAGAATAATTCACAGCCTACATTACAATCAGTGTGCAATAATTACAATCACTGTTCAACTGATTAATCAGACCTAAAGGATAAAGTTAAAATTAAATAACGTGAGGTAGCACCACTAAAGAATTCTGAAGTTTTCAGTACATTAAAATCTAAGATATTTAGAAAATACAGCATACAGTTTAAAGTACTTCAATTAATTTCTCTGCAGCGCAGGAGAAATAGGTAAAGTCACCATAGACCCACTCTCTCATTAGAAAGAGAGATGACTTGTGGTGAGTTTAATCTGAGGGACACCGTGCCTGAGGTAAGATTGAGATGGTTACCTTTGTCGTAATCTCAGCTGTTACAGAAATTGAATCTATTCTATTAGCATCACCATCCAGCCAACTGAGCTAACTGCAAGGACACAGAACACACTGAGTTGCTCTTACAGAGAGCCAGTACGGGCAAATGGGATGAATAGCCTCCTGTGTGTTGCAGCCATTCAATGCTAACCCAGGATAATTCTACAAGTAGTGTTTGTGTGAACCCATGACAGGGCTAAAAGTGTCCTGGCACCCTGAGTTATAAAAGCATTGATGAACTGCTAAACCTGAGATGAAACTGCAATTCTTAGACATAAAATAATCTTTATCTTTTGAGTAAAACTGTATGATCTGTTGTAAATTACAACCACTGGTCACTGAGAAGCAAGTGGAAAAACTTCTGTCAAAGTGTATAAAGCTGGAAGTTCTCAAGCAGCAACTGTTGACATTTTCAGTGAGGTAGTGGTAATGTCACTGGTTTAGATGATCAAGAACCTCAGCCTAATGTCCTGTGGGACATGGGGTTCAAATTAAACGATGGTGACATTTGAATTCAATAAAAATCTGGAGTTAACAGTCAGCTTCATTGTGACTATGTAACCATTGCGATTAAAAACACATCTGGTTCACTCATGTCTTTTTGGGAAGGAAATCTGCCATCCTTACCTGCTCTGGCCTACATGTGACTCCAATATTACTGTTGGCTTTTCTCTTCAATTAGGGATTTGCAATAAACGCTGATCTAGTGAGCCATACTCACAACTCATGGGAAAACATTGCGAAAAAGGTCAATGACCTTTCATCAAAACTGGCCAATGGCCTGAAACTGTTTAAAGCTATAGTTGGTGCCCAATCGGGCCAAACTTTTCAATTGATTCTCATTTCAGCGTCAGCTCTATTTTGCACCAATACTGTTTCAACTGTGATGTGAATTATTGTGCGCAATGGGATCTTTAATGGATTCGATCCTGGTTAGACAGCAGTCATTGCCCACCCCTCATAGCCCTGCTATCACTGCCTGTGTGGGACTGGAGTCTCATGAAGGCCAGATTCACACTGTTCACTCTGCTATCTCTCAAACAAAATCATCCAACCATTGAAGGTTCAGGTTGCCTTCATTAATCTTCAACACTTCACCAGAATTTCTCACATCATTTAGCAGCATGTCCCACGAGGTAATGAGATACATCAGAAATTCAGCGAACATACTACAGATCTTATTTGTCACGGTTTTGCAGTTCAAACAGAGAGGTTCTTTGGGATTTTGGTAGCTCTAAGGGGGCAAAGGGAATCAGTGTCCCGTTGGCATCAGTGGCCAACTGCGTCGTTGACTGTTCCACTCAATTGGCAGCTTGCCACTGACCTTTGGATCTCAGCAATCCATCAGCATCATCCCGTTACTCAGAGCTCGCTTCCACATGTAATACGTCGAACGCGGCGTTAGGGGGAAGTAGCTGCTGAACTCCCGGAATGTCGGGAAGTTCTTTGACACGTACCGGCGCTGAAGGAAAAGCTTGGCCTTGGCTTTGGAGGCTGTGCCGTGTAAAGTGCCCACAACAAGCGGGCGTTTGACTGGCTCCCGCGGGGTTGGACAGTCCGAGACCCTCACTCCACCAGGACTCAAGGCTCCCTTCTCCAACTCCACCCGTGCCCATCGCACGCCCTCTCTGGATCCGACTGAGACCCCCTCTTTGTGCAGGTCGCTGACCTTCACCTTGGTCCTCCTGGAGGCAGATGAGTTTCTCCACCACAGGAAGGTCAGGGCGGAGATGGCCGGGTACCTCACCCGGAACGTCGACAGGGGGATCTGCCACGTCTGCGCCCGTTTCTTGGCTTCCCCTGGCCTCACCTTGTGCCGGAAGGGGGACCCGGCGGCGGCGTTCCCTCTAGGGCGGAGCGGACCATTTCTGGCTCTGCCGCTCGGCGCCACCCCATCCGCAGTGCCAGGCACCAGGCTGGGCGTGCCAACTTCACGGTGGTGGGCCCCGTGCAGACCGGAATTGGAAAGGGTGCCGCTTGTGTCCAGGTGGCTCATCGCCTCCCTCCTCCAATTGTAATAGCTGGACCTGGAGACCCAGGGGTAACTCTTCTTGAAACTTTTGTAAGGGGGGCACACGTTGAGGAGGACGCACTCCCTGAGGAAGCGTTTGGCCAGCTGCTTTGAAGGTGACCTCTGGCCGTTGAACGGACCAGGACCGCTGATACAGGCCGCCTCGGAGAGGTCCGTGGTCTCACTCTGCAAGACATTGGGCAGTGGAGACTCGCTGTCCTGTCCAAGGCCTATGCTCTGGTCCGACACCTGGCCCCGCGTGGGTTGGTGCCCACCTCCTGGCCTAGCGCCCGCCGTCAGCATTTCGTGCTTCCAGGCGTAATAGGTGGAGCGGGAGATATCGGGGAAGTGGCTTCGGAACTGCTGCAGTGGCAGGAAGTTACCGCCAGCAAAGGCTTCCTGCAGGTAGTGCTTGGCTTCGTAGCGAGTGGCTGCTTTCCGCCGACGCTCACGGGACTGCTTCTTCCAGCGGTAGAACGTACTCTTGGTGATGCTGTACTTCTCCCGGAGGACGGAGTAGGAGATATCCGGGTCGGCATTCAGAAGCTCCAGGGTCTTCAGGGGCAGCAGGCTCTCGCCCGCCTCTTGGCCCCTCAGGTCCTGGGCGGCGATGACTGGCGCAAAATACTGGGGCTTGAAGACGGCCCGAGAGAGAGGCTCACCCGCCCACATGATGTGCAGCGTCTGCAGCTCCGCCCCTGGGGCATGGCTCCGGGGACGAATCAGGCGGTTGAAGTACGGGCGGATCTTCAGGTTGCTCATGGGGTAGATGGAGTAAACGTTACTCTGCAGGACTGACGCCAGGGCATAGACGTGCCACATGTTGGCGAAGGTGCCCGGGAAGCAGGTCGCCTTGACGTCGGCGTCAAAGATGGCCTCCAGGATGTCCAAGGGCAGGTTCATCTTCTCGGCCGATTCCTCAGTGCACAGGGAGTACCTGGCAGCCTGCAGCATCACCTTGGAGTCTATCATGCCCTTCAGGTAGTACTGCTTGTGGAGGACCATCTCCACCATTGTCCTCAGCTGCAGCTCCGTGCTCAGGCTGGTGTCCCCCTTCAGCAGCATGCTGGCCGCCTCAAACAGGTGGTTCCCTTCCCCAACACAGGCCAACGGCACCATACCCGCTGGGGCATCCTCAGGGTAGAGAGCTCTAGCCTTGGTGTCCAGCTCAGTCTCTGGAGGGAACGTTCTCCTGGAGAGCAGGGGCACAGGCAAGCTTGACAGCAACTTTTCCACATCCACAGTCACAGCTCGGAGGAAATCAAACTCTGCGCATTCAGTGGCTTCCTGCAGTCTACAATGTAAGGCTTCTATTAATTCGCTCCTTTGAGGCATTCCTGTGGAAATAAAACAGAATTCTCATTGCAATGCTCAGCGAAATCTCTAGGAGGTGGTAGCGCGGTGGTAATGCCACTCGATTAGCAATCCAGAGGCTCAGACCAGAACGCCGAGGAAGGAAGACAAAAATTGCTGGAAAAACTCAGCAGGTCTGGCAGCACCTGTGGAGAGAAACGTTTCGGGTGTAGTAAACTGGAACCGAAATGTTAACTCCCTCTCTACAGATGTTGCCAGACCTGCTGAGTTTTTCCAGCAATTTTTGTTTTAGTTATTGACTTCCAACATCCTCAGTTCTTTGGGGTTTTGTTTTTGTTCAGTGTTCTAAGAAGATGGGTTCAAATCCTGCCATAGCAGACGGTGAAATTTGAGCTCAACATTTAGAAAAATAAAAAATCTTGAATTAAAAAGATAGTTTAATTGCAACAATTGTCGATTGTTGTAAAGTCAACTCATCAGGTTCAATAATAATGTCCTTTAAGGAAGGAAATCTGCCATCCTTACCTGGTCTGGCCCATATGTGACTCTAGACCCACAGCAATGTGAATTGACTCTGAAGTGCCCTCCAGGGCAATTAGGAAATGGCAATAAATGCCGGCTAAGCCAGTGATGCCCACATCCCATGAATGAATTTTAAAAGAGGCAAAAGTTCGAGTTTGATAAACTGTCCTTCAATACATCTGGCCAAGAGAATGGGTCACTGTTTATTGTATAATCCTGAGCTGACAGCTGGAGTCATTCCAGTTGAATAATTTGATTTTAAGTGACTCATTCCCTTTCAAAACTCTTCACTAGATTTCTCAGTCTGACCCTGAAGTTCATATCTTACTAAGAGTTAGGATTGCAGTAGGAAAAATCAGTCTCTTGAGCTCACTCTGCCATTACATGAGATCATAGCTGACCTGACTGTGGTGTAGCTAACATTCCTATCTATGCCTTTGACTCCCCCTTTCAATTAAGAACCTTCCTACCTCTGCCTTAAAAATATTTAATGATCGCAACTCTACCACTCTCTGAGGAGGAGAACTCCATAAATTCATGTCTCTCTGAAACAAATCATTTCACTTCATTGCCATCTTAATTGGGAGGCATCTTTTGAAAAACTATGTCCCCTAGTTATGGTCTCTCCTACAAGGAAAACCAACCTTTCAGAATCTAGCATGGGCAGCACAGTGGCTCAGTGGTTAGGAACAAAAACAAAGTTGCTGGAAAAGCTCAGCAGATCTGGAGGCATCTGTGAAGGAGAAAACAAGAGTTAACGTTTCAGGTCCGGTGACCCTTTCTCAGAACTCCTGAGTACAGAGCGCTCAGCATCGGACAGCGGAAGGTTAGGAGGGATGGTGAATACCCAACAGGAGGTGGGGGGTTGGGGGAGGGGATAGTGGTCAGTGGTTAGCCCTGCTGCCTCACCGCGCCAGGAGCCTGAGGTCGATTCCACCCTCGGGCGACTGTCTGTGTGGAGTTTGCACATTCTCCGTGTCTGCGTGGGATTCCTCCGGGTACTCCGGTTTCCTCCCATAGTCCAAAGATGTGCAGGCTAGGTGGATTGGCCATGCTAAATTGCCCGTAGTGTTCAGGGATGTGTAGATTAGGTGGGTTATAGAGGGACTGGGTCTCGGCGGGATGCATTGAGGGTTGGTATGGACTTGCTGGGCAGAAGGGCCTGTTTCCACACTGTAGGTGTTCGATGATAAGTTCCCTCAGGATCGTATATGTTTCGATAAGATCACCTCTCATTCTTCTAAACTCCTTCGAGTATAGGCCCAACTGTTCAACTTTACCTCCCAAGGGAACCCCCTTCATCCCAGGAATCAGTTGAGTGTTTTGCTCTCCACAGATATTGCCAGAACTGCTGAATATCTTCAGTAAACTCTGGTTTTGTAGCTGTCGCGTAAAACTTGTCTTAGATGCAACTATGCCCTTTCTTCAAAGAAGTACCCTGGTATGAAGCAAAGATTAAACAGGTTGGGACTCAAATGGAGTATAGAAGAATAAGAAACATGTCGGATTCTTAAAGCATTTGGCAGGGTAAATGCTGATAGGACATTTCCCCTCATGAGAAAGTCTAGGACCAGAGGGTACAGTCTCAGAATAAAGAGGTGCCAATTTAAGATGGAGATGAGGAGAAATTTCTGCGCTCAAAGAGAGCTGTGGGGGCAGAGTCCTTGTGTATATTTAAGACTGAGACAGATAGATTTTGACCAGTAGGGGAATCAAGTGTTACGGGGAAAGGGTAGGAAAATGGATGTGAGGAATTTCAGATCAGCCATGATCCTACTGAATGGCAGAGCAGGCTCAAGGAACTAAATGGCCTTAACCCTCTTCCTATTTCTTAAGTAAAATTGTACACAGTGCTCCAGGTATGGCCTGACCAATGCCCAGTGCAACTGTAGCAAAACATCCCTAGTTTTATACTGCAAAACATCCCTAGTTTTATACTCCGTCTCCCTTGCAATAAACAACAATGTTACATTTGCCTTCATAATCACTCATATTAACGTCTCTTCATTCACATACCAGGACACCGAGATTACTCTGAGATAACAAGGTGTATAACAAGGAAATTTCTGAAGAAAGGTCTAGGCCCAAAACATCAGCTTTCCTGCTCCTCTGATGCTGCTTGGCCTGCTGTGTTCATCCAGCTCTACACCTTGTTATCTCAGATTCTCCAGCATCTGCAGTTCCTACTAACCCAGATTACTCTGTACATTAGAGTTCTGCAGTTTTCTCCGTTTCGTAGGGGAGACCGTGGTATATTGGTAATATCACTTTAGGGGTCATCCAGAGGCCTAGGTTAAAATACTTGGGACATGGATTCAAACATTGTGGGATTTTAGCTCAATTATTAAACCTGGATTTGAAAATTAGCCTCAGTAATGGTGACCGTGGAACAGTGAACTGTTGTAACAATCCGCCTGGTTCACTAATGTTCTTGAGGAAAGGAAATCTGCCCTCCTCATCTGGTCTGGCCCACGTGTGACTCCAAACCCAAAACAATGTGTCCATGAGTCCATGACACTTAACTGCCCTCTGAAACGTTAAGCAAGCCAATCAGTTCAAAGGCATTTAGAGTTGTACAACCAGTGCTGGGCTTTGACAAAAGCACCCACATCCTATGATAGAATAAAATTTAAATCATATGCTGATTTGCTGTTCTTCCTGTCAAAATTCAATTTAGATAAATGTGAGATGCTGCATTTTGGAAAGGCAAATCAGGACAGGACTTTTACACTTGATGGTCAGGTCCTCAGGAGGTGTTGCTGAACAAAGAGACCTTGGAGTGCAGGTTTATAGTTCCTTGAAAGTGGAGTCACAGGTAGATAGGATAGTGAAGAAAGTGTTTGGTACGTTGCAGTTGGACAGGACACTGGTTAGGCCACTTTAGGAATACTGAATACAACACTGATCTCCCTGCCATAGGAAACATTTTACAAGGATGTTGCCAGGGTTGGAGGGTTTGAGCTATAGGGAAAGGCTGAATAGGCTGGGGCTATTTTCCATCGAGTGTCGGAGGCTGAGGGGTGACCTTATAGAAGTTTATAAAATCATGAGGGGCATGGATAAGGTAAATAGAGGAGAGTCCAAACCTAGACAACGTGGGTTTAAGGTGAGCGGGGAAAGATTTAAAAGGGATTTAAGAGGCAACGTTATCACACAGACGGTGGAGTGTATTTGGAATGAGCTGCCAGAGGAAATGGTGGAGGCTGACACAATTACAATATTTAAAAGGCACCTGGATGGGTGTATGAATAGGAAGCATTTAGAGGGATATGGTCCAAATGCTAGCAAATGGGACTAGATTTATTTAAAATATCTGGTCAACATGAATGAGTTGGACCAAAGGGTCTGTTTCCGCGCTGTATATCTCTATGACTCTCTAAGTGAACAAGTTTAATATCTTCCCAGATTGTACTACATGGGGTGGTACAGTGGCTCAGCAGTTGGCACCGCTGCTTCACAGCGCCAGGGACCCAGATTTGATTCCACCCTTGGGTGACTGTCTGTGTGGAGTTTGCATGTTCTCCCTGTGTCTGCGTGGGTTTCCTCCAGGTGCTCCAGCTTCCTCCCAAAGATGTGCAGAGTAGATGGATTGGCCATGCTAAATTACCCATGGTATTGAGGAATGTACAGGCTAGGGGATTAGCCATGAGAAATGCAGGATTATAGGGATAGGGTGGGTCTGGGTGGGATTCTCTTCAGAGGGTCAGTGTGGACCCGATGGACTGAATGGCCTGCTTCCACGCTGTAGGGATTCTATGATCTGCCAAGTTTTACCTGCACACTTAGCCGATCTATATCCCTTTGCAGACTGCTTATGTCCTCTGCACAACTTACTCTTATGTAATTTGTATCTTTAGCAAATTTAGCAACCATGCATTCTACTTATTACTAGGGATTGGAAGTAGTTAAGACACAGCACCGTTCCCTGTGTGTCTCCACTCGTTACAGCTTGCCAACCGGAACATGCATCATTTATGCTTAATCTCTGCTTCCTGTTAGTTAAGCAATCATCCGTCCATGCTAATATGGTGCCCCCTGCACTGTGAACCCTTATTTTATGTAGTAACCTTTGATGTAGTACCCTGTCAAATGCCTTTTCGAAATCCAAGTACACCATATGTGCAAGTTTCGTTAAAACCATGTCAGTGTTACTTCCTCAAACAACAGGAGTGAATTCAGTCAAGGATCCCTCTTACAACGTGTTCAGTAAAGGATTCCAACATCTTCCTGATCATCGATGTTAAAGATAACTAGCCTGTAATTTCCTGAAGGAAGAACAATTTTATATACAGTGGAGTGGCAATGACATGAAAGATGCTGTGTGCAAGGGAAGTAGAATGGCAGATGATGAAAGATTTCAAGGAAATTGGATTGGTTCATGGGAGAATAATAGACACATCGTAAAGAGGTGCGTGAATCGGCCATTCAGCCCTTCGGACCTATCCTATCACTCTATATGATCATGATTGATCATCCAACTTAGTACCCAGTTCTTGCTT